CATGGGGAAACAGCTAATTAACCACGGTGACCGTGGTCATGTGTTGTCCACCATGAGCTGTGTGAGAAATACATTTTACTGTGATCTGGACACCCCCGCCCCATAACGGGAAGTAAAGCTTCATAAAACAACATCTTACCATACGAGGTGAACTGTTGTTTCTGTAGGAAAAATCGTAAAAGACCTTGAAATGTATCAAAAGGGTGGCTGATGTCTATGCCGGAACTTGCAGTGGGGACCAGCATGCCCTTCCAACTTTGCTGATTTTATGGGGTGTCCAACTCTCAGCCGTTTGTACCTTGGTAAGTTGTAGATACCAGTAAAAGCAGTGCACATTGAGCCAGGTGTGATGGTGCACACCTGTAATCCCAGGAGGCTGAGGCAGGAGGATTGCTGTGAGCTTTAGGTCAGCCTGGACTTCAAGTGAGGTCAAGCTCACTATGGACTACATAGGAGACCCTGTCTCAAAAAAACCCAAACCAAAATAAAAACAGTGCACACAATCTTTGTCCACAGGCAGGTAAGTGAATTTTGTCTTGTGGGGGTTCACCTGCTTTGTCTCTCCTGCTGTGGGAAAGCCGGTTTTCTCTATATTAGGTGAATACATTTTAGCCTTCCCAGTGGCCTGTATTTGCGTCTGCTCTTCGGATCTTTTGTTCGAACTGGCTGTGCACGCTCCCTGAGCTGTCTGACCAGTTAAATGAAACGTTTGCTTTGTGTCCATTTTGTGTTTGTAAAATAGTCGTGGTTTCACCCTTTAAAAAACGGTGACACTGTTCTCTGTGCAGAATGAAATCGCAGGGGATTTATATTTTCCTCTTCTCAGTATTTTCTCAACTCTTCATAGCAGCCCCACCTCCTGAGGCTCCACTGCCTGCCAGCAGAGCCAGGCTGGGGGCCAGGCCTCTCACACAGGGGCTTAGCGGGTGCTTCGGATCCCAGCTAGAGCAGAGGAAGTCGGGTAATCGGGTGAGGAGGAGGGAAGGAGCAGCACAAACGTAACCTCTGGAGCAAGAAGGAGCTGTCACAGGACAGCGGACAGAGGAGCCAGGACAGGCCAGGCACGTCCCAGGCAGGTCACTGCAGTTTACTCTGGAGAGGAAATGTAAGTGGGAGGTTAGGGCTTTTAGGGGGTCAGTATTTATAGACACTCAACCTCTTTTCTACAACATACAACAGGAACCTGGGTATGATGGTGACCCACACTTACAATCCCAGCAATCTGGGGGCAGAAGCAGGAAGATCACAAAC